GCCACAACAAGCACACTGCCTGGTTTCAAAAGCAACTCGTCGTCGCTGTCCTCTGAATCGGAGGGAACAGCAGCAGGAGGGTTTCTGTGTGCCTCCCAGAATGCCTGTGGACGACGGTGCTCTGTAGTTTGACCATGGAAGCGGCGACGTGCAGCAACACCTAGAGGAGATGGTGGCTGCTGAGGGGGCTCATCAGGAGGTGGACTAGGAGAAGGAGGGCGAGTAGATGGTGGAGAGGGATTGGGTGTATTTGGGTTGGTTGAAGTGGGAGTTGGTGCAGGGGGTCCTCGATGAACACTGCATTCATCGTCCTCATCTCCCCCGTCATCGCGCACAACCTGTGGCTTAGACGGAGGCAGATCAAAGAAGGACGACGGAGGAGTCCTAGGACATTGCCTCATCATGGTGGGGCTGTTCCCAGGGAAGTAGCGCTCGTCAAAGACAGCGCGCTCTGATGTGACCATCTTTCTGGTTACTGGATTGTAGAACAACCATCCCTTGTACTCTGTGGGATATCCCACAAAGACACACTTCTGGAAATGTATCCCAGAAGCATCTCTCTTGTCTTTTTGCACATGCACATAGGCAAGGCAGCCCCACACACGAAGGTGTGACACGTCCGGCTTTCGCTTCAACCAAAGCTCATAAGGAGTTGTATTCTCCGGAATATGAGACAATGGATGCATGTTTGCCACATGGACATAAGCAGCAACTGCAAGCGCTTTAAAAGACGGAGGCAAGTTGGCTTCATGCAGCATAGCCGTTGTGTGCTCATCAACAGTGCGATTAGCACGTTCTGCAGTTCCATTCTGCTGAGGTCTGTTCCTTGTTGAATGACGGCGCACAATGCCTTCAGAGAGCAAGTAGTTCTTGAACTCATTGGACATGTACTCCCCACCTTCATCGTCCTGCAGTTCCTTGATTTTGCGCCCAAAGTGATTCTCAGCATAAGCCTTGAACGCTTTGAAGGCAGCAAATGTACCACTCTTGTGTTTCATGTGGTAGGCCACTTTGAAACTGGTGTGATCATCAATGAAGAGAACACGATGTCTCCAACCCTCTCGGGTGAAGACTTTGTATTCCTTCAGATCAGAGTGTATCAAATCAAGTGGCGCTGCAGCACGATGTCCAGTGGAAGGAAACGGCCCTGCATTCAGCTTGCCTGCAAGGCATGGCTCACAAATTGGATCTGGCTTCTGGTTTGAAGCAAGCTTCGCACCAGTGACCAGTTGCTTGCTCAAGATCTTCTGGGTGTCTGAATGATGCCCTAGCCGACGATGCAGCAGATCCAGATCAAGAGGCAAGGTTCCAACTGCAAGAGCTGAATTAGAAGAAGGAGAAACGACCTCTTCTCTCACAAATGCCTGGTTCCTCTCATCAATGTCTGCCTCAAACAGCAACTCTTTATCTCGACGGAAGAAGATGGTAGATCCCTCCATGAGAATAGAATAGCAATGCATTCAAGACAGATCAGTACTAGAGATGAGATTATGAGACAACAAAGGAACATATAGGACATGTGAGAGGAGGATAAGTCGGCCATGACGTCTGTATATACGTGGTCTAAGCAGTGCATCTCCTATCAACTCGGAGTAAATAACCACTCCATTTGCAACTAGAATTGGAACTCTATAGGGGCGAGCGTTCAACAGACGAGCACGATCAGGTGTCATGTGTGAAGTGCACCCTGAATCTGAGATCCATCTTGTGTCAGCAAGGGATGAGTTAGGAAGTGGGAGAGCACTTGCATTAGATGCAACGTGGGACGTTGCTGCTGCACCCTTTTTAGGCTTCTTTCCAAGGAGCTCCAAAAACTGGTAGCATTGGAAAAGAGTGTGGTGGGGTTTGCCACATCCAGCACAGATAACTGGTTGCTTTGGGGGTGCAGCTGCAATGGCAGCAGAGGATGAGGGCGACACAGAGGGAGCAGGTGTGATTGCAGCCATGGCCAGACCAGATAGAGAACTGATCAGACTGGTGTCTCCTTCCTGGTGAGCAGTCCTAAATGCCTGATGGTTGGCATAGGCCTGCTCAATGACTGACACCTTGAGATCGTCTGGAGACTGCTCAAACGGTGCTTTAAGGACAGCATACTGTCTGTCATCAGGAAGGGCCATGAGAAGAACCACTGATTGTAGTTCCTCATCAGCGCTCTCAAGTGAGAAGTCTTTCGGTCTAGACTCTTTCAGAAGACGCATCAAGGATGCAAAAATGCGAAGCAGAAATGCAGAGGATGAGTATCCCAGATGATAGACTTAGATGATAAGCCCGGGGCCCATAACCTGTTAGAACAGGCAGCACAGAGGTCTGAAGTCAACAGTGAGAACTCTTGTGCATTGGCAAGGAAAAGGAAGTAAGTACTAACCTGAAGTCAACAGTGAGAACTACACTAGCCTACTTATATATGTATTGTAGGTGTGTGGGAACAGGATGAGTAATGTGAGTAATGAGGATGAGTAATGCTCAGTCAGCTGCTCAGTCAGCATTAGTAAGTACAACTACATAAGTAAGGATCAAACCGGATCAAATAGGTAAGCAGGAATGCGAGAATGTCACAGTCCAGTCACAGACTCCAACAAAGTCAACAGTGAGAACTCTTGTGCATTGGCAAGGAAAAGGAAGTAAGTACTAACCTGAAGTCAACAGTGAGAACTACACTAGCCTACTTATATATGTATTGTAGGTGTGTGGGAACAGGATGAGTAATGTGAGTAATGAGGATGAGTAATGCTCAGTCAGCTGCTCAGTCAGCTGCTCAGTCAGCATTAGTAAGTACAACTACATAAGTAAGGATCAAACCGGATCAAATAGGTAAGCAGGACTGCGAGAATGTCACAGTCCAGTCACAGACTCCAACAAAGTCAACAGTAAGAACTCTTGTGCATTGGCAAGGAAAAGGAAGTAAGTACTAACCTGAAGTCAACAGTGAGAACTGAGGACTCCAGGACTACACTAGCCTACTTATATATACATGTATTGTAGGTGTGTGGGAACAGGATGAGTAATGTGAGTAATGAGGATGAGTAATGCTCAGTAAGCTGCTCAGTAAGCTGCTCAATCAGCTGCTCAGTTAGCTGATCAGTCAGCTGCTCAGTCAACATTAGTAAGTACAACTACATAAGTAAGGATCAAACCGGATCAAATAGGTAAGCAGAATGTCACAGTCCAGTCACAGACTCCAACACTATAGTGTTGCCGTCAAACAGGAGCGCATTGGCAATAACCGCGGGATCTGGCAGGGTCACCCTGGTTTCCTGTCGAATAAGTGGCATCCAACATCGCAAGACAGGGGTTCAACAGCTAGTTCTCATCATCATGATCCTCTCAGTCGATGTCTGGCCCAGCTGCGATGGGACTCGCCCCCAACAGTTTGGTCAGGATAGTAGAGGGCTTCTGCAGCTGATTCATTGCAGCTACTTGGTCCGCCACACCGCAGGTCAAAGCTGTTTAGGCAAGGGCCTGACTCTTCTTCTGCTGCAGCAGATCACAGCAGTATTTGCGATGACGCCTAACAGCTGAGCCCACCACTGTCATAGCTATTTCGCGGGTGTTCATTGCCTATGTGATACAGTGCTCAGTTCAAGAAGGGGCAACAAGAGCTGCCATGCCCACAGAGGTGGTCTTGTGTCATCATCATAGCTTGTCGAAACTGAATCGGGTCCTGCAGCTCATTGGTGGCCCTGCATAGATTCTCTGCGCCAACCCCCATCATCTGGTATCTCGAGGAAACCGTCCTGTTGGGGCGCGGAATCTTGCGCATCGAGAAAGAATTGTCATAGACAAAGAATTTGTATAGATTTGTAAAGACCTTTTGAGGGTCCGCTCTTACCTTGACAAGTTCTTCCTGCTGCTATACCCAATGGGATTAGACAACTGTGTGACTAATGGGACTCACCTCCACTTATGCGTGGCATTTCTTGACTTCTACGGAACTGAGGGCAGGATAAGCCGAGGCTCGCCATTTTGCTGCCGTGTATTGATCTCCTGCAGGTGCATCCTCCAGTTCCACAGCACTAGCTACATGGTGCACGAGTACCTCCACGGCGAACTGGAAATACATGTCCTTTCCCATCCGCTCCTGAGACTCAATGAGTGTCTGTTAAGCTCTGGGGTTTGGATCGGATGCTGCTATACATATTCCTGTGCATACAGCCTTATTGCTGTTGCACATAGCCTTATTGCTGTGGCACATAGCCTTACTGCTGTGCATATTCCTATGTGCATAGCCTTACTGCTGTGTGTCTCAGACATATATATATAGCTAGTTTACAATGGATTCTGGGCTTTTTCGTGTCCTCATCTGTGACCCATCTGAGACCCGCCCTTTCAGTTACCATCTGAGACCATCTGAGTTTCCCCTTCCAACAGTGTCTGATGCAGATAGAGCCATCATTAGAACCTGTATACCTTCAGGATCTGCCTGGCATACTTCTCATTCGGCCCTGGTATCTTACCCAAGCGAAGCCAGACAACAAGGATAATACCGCAGTTTCTGGAATAATGCCACAGAAATACTCCTTCCATTAGATGGTTCAGAATAATCCACTCTCCAAGCAGCTGTCCATACTGAGAGACGACATAAGTATCTCGTCAAGAGCACTTATGGATGACTAACCGCGTCACCAGCATTATGCTGCAATGTCCCTTGGCTGCCCTTGGGAAGTCCTGCTTTTTCGCAGGCCAATAGCTCATAACATGGCTGACACTCTGCGAGGAGGCTGCAATGCCGGTGTACTGTTCATTTATTATCTGAACAAATCTGGCATGGCAGATCAGCAGGCATTTCCCAATGCCTTAGCAGCACTCACAGGAGGAGCTCAAGCTTTGATTGCTCAATGAAGATTTCCACTTCATCTTTTCCAAAGAAAAGCTGAGCCAATGTTAGGTCATACATTGAGCTAGGTAGCTCCGCACCTTGATGATGAGGACGCCCCTAGACCATAAGTGGAGTAGCAACCACAATGTTGTTGCAGTATGGATTATGTTCCTTGTGCACTATCGGTGGAATAACTCAGTTGGTTAGAGCATCAGATAGTAATTCTGAGGTCGCCAGTTTGATTCCGGCTTCAGCCATTTTTCCCAACAAATGTCAGATCAAAGAGCACATTGGTCATGTTTATAACACTCTCCAGCAGGAACCGTTGCTCGTCGGCCTGGACAGTATTGAGAGATATCTATGTTGGAGTCTGTGACTGGACTGTGACATTCTCGCATTCCTGTTTACCTATTTGATCCGGTTTGATCCTTACTTATGTAGTTGTACTTACTAATGCTGACTGAGCAGCTGACTGAGCAGCTGACTGATCAGCTGACTGAGCAGCTGACTGAGCAGCTGACTGAGCAGCTGACTGAGCAGCTTACTGAACATTACTCATCCTCATTACTCACATTACTCATCCTGTTCCCACACACCTACAATACATATATAAGTAGGCTAGTGTAGTTCTCACTGTTGACTTCAGGTTAGTACTTACTTCCTTTTCCTTGCCAATGCACAAGAGTTCTCACTGTTGACTTCAGACCTCTGTGCTGCCTGTTCTAACAGGTTATGGGCCCCGGGCTTATCATCTAAGTCTATCATCTGGGATACTCATCCTCTGCATTTCTGCTTCGCATTTTTGCATCCTTGATGCGTCTTCTGAAAGAGTCTAGACCGAAAGACTTCTCACTTGAGAGCGCTGATGAGGAACTACAATCAGTGGTTCTTCTCATGGCCCTTCCTGATGACAGACAGTATGCTGTCCTTAAAGCACCGTTTGAGCAGTCTCCAGACGATCTCAAGGTGTCAGTCATTGAGCAGGCCTATGCCAACCATCAGGCATTTAGGACTGCTCACCAGGAAGGAGACACCAGTCTGATCAGTTCTCTATCTGGTCTGGCCATGGCTGCAATCACACCTGCTCCCTCTGTGTCGCCCTCATCCTCTGCTGCCATTGCAGCTGCACCCCCAAAGCAACCAGTTATCTGTGCTGGATGTGGCAAACCCCACCACACTCTTTTCCAATGCTACCAGTTTTTGGAGCTCCTTGGAAAGAAGCCTAAAAAGGGTGCAGCAGCAACGTCCCACGTTGCATCTAATGCAAGTGCTCTCCCACTTCCTAACTCATCCCTTGCTGACACAAGATGGATCTCAGATTCAGGGTGCACTTCACACATGACACCTGATCGTGCTCGTCTGTTGAACGCTCGCCCCTATAGAGTTCCAATTCTAGTTGCAAATGGAGTGGTTATTTACTCCGAGTTGATAGGAGATGCACTGCTTAGACCACGTATATACAGACGTCATGGCCGACTTATCCTCCTCTCACATGTCCTATATGTTCCTTTGTTGTCTCATAATCTCATCTCTAGTACTGATCTGTCTTGAATGCATTGCTATTCTATTCTCATGGAGGGATCTACCATCTTCTTCCGTCGAGATAAAGAGTTGCTGTTTGAGGCAGACATTGATGAGAGGAACCAGGCATTTGTGAGAGAAGAGGTCGTTTCTCCTTCTTCTAATTCAGCTCTTGCAGTTGGAACCTTGCCTCTTGATCTGGATCTGCTGCATCGTCGGCTAGGGCATCATTCAGACACCCAGAAGATCTTGAGCAAGCAACTGGTCACTGGTGCGAAGCTTGCTTCAAACCAGAAGCCAGATCCAATTTGTGAGCCATGCCTTGCAGGCAAGCTGAATGCAGGGCCGTTTCCTTCCACTGGACATCGTGCTGCAGCGCCACTTGATTTGATACACTCTGATCTGAAGGAATACAAAGTCTTCACCCGAGAGGGTTGGAGACATCGTGTTCTCTTCATTGATGATCACACCAGTTTCAAAGTGGCCTACCACATGAAACACAAGAGTGGTACATTTGCTGCCTTCAAAGCGTTCAAGGCTTATGCTGAGAATCACTTTGGGCGCAAAATCAAGGAACTGCAGGACGATGAAGGTGGGGAGTACATGTCCAATGAGTTCAAGAACTACTTGCTCTCTGAAGGCATTGTGCGCCGTCATTCAACAAGGAACAGACCTCAGCAGAATGGAACTGCAGAACGTGCTAATCGCACTGTTGATGAGCACACAACGGCTATGCTGCATGAAGCCAACTTGCCTCCGTCTTTTAAAGCGCTTGCAGTTGCTGCTTATGTCCATGTGGCAAACATGCATCCATTGTCTCATATTCCGGAGAATACAACTCCTTATGAGCTTTGGTTGAAGCGAAAGCCGGACGTGTCACACCTTCGTGTGTGGGGCTGCCTTGCCTATGTGCATGTGCAAAAAGACAAGAGAGATGCTTCTGGGATACATTTCCAGAAGTGTGTCTTTGTGGGATATCCCACAGAGTACAAGGGATGGTTGTTCTACAATCCAGTAACCAGAAAGATGGTCACATCAGAGCGCGCTGTCTTTGACGAGCGCTACTTCCCTGGGAACAGCCCCACCATGATGAGGCAATGTCCTAGGACTCCTCCGTCGTCCTTCTTTGATCTGCCTCCGTCTAAGCCACAGGTTGTGCGCGATGACGGGGGAGATGAGGACGATGAATGCAGTGTTCATCGAGGACCCCCTGCACCAACTCCCACTTCAACCAACCCAAATACACCCAATCCCTCTCCACCATCTACTCGCCCTCCTTCTCCTAGTCCACCTCCTGATGAGCCCCCTCAGCAGCCACCATCTCCTCTAGGTGTTGCTGCACGTCGCCGCTTCCATGGTCAAACTACAGAGCACCGTCGTCCACAGGCATTCTGGGAGGCACACAGAAACCCTCCTGCTGCTGTTCCCTCCGATTCAGAGGACAGCGACGACGAGTTGCTTTTGAAACCAGGCAGTGTGCTTGTTGTGGCACATCATGGAGATCCAGCTAGTGAAGCACTTCAAATGGCCAATGTTGCTTCTGTGCAGTCAGCTCACTCTGCTGTCCAGTCTGGCAATCCTAGGTCTTATCATGAAGCACTACGGCGAGCAGATGCTCATCTTTGGGAAGAAGCAGCAGTCTCAGAGATAAACTCTCTTCTAGAGAACTGCACATGGGATGTTGTTGATGCACCACCTGGTGTGAAGCCTATTCGTTCTCAATGGGTCTTCATCATCAAGCACAAGTCAGATGGCTCTGTTGAGCGCTACAAGGCTCGCCTCGTTGCAGATGGTCGTGGCCAGCGTCATGGCCTCGACTACAACAAGATATTCTCTCCTACATTCAAGGCTGCAACACTTCGCATCATCCTTGCTCTTGCTGCTCAGCACGATCTCAAGCTTCGTTCCATTGACTTCTCATCGGCATACCTGAATGGAGATCTGGAGGAGGATGTCTTTATGACTCAACCCGAAGGATTTCCTCAAGGAGACCATGGCCAGCTCCTTAAACTGCGCAAGTCCATCTATGGACTGAAGCAGGCTGGTCGGCAGTGGAACAAGAAGCTGAACGCGAAGCTCCTGTCTATGGGCTTCCGTTGTCTCCAGTCTGATCGCTCGTGCTACATCTACTCCAATCGCACTGTGCGCATTATCCTTCCCATCTGGAAATCAAGTGGATACGCAATCTCCTACTTGAGTTGGGGTATGGAGTGTCTGGTGCCTCTCCCCTCCTTCTAGACAACCACTCTGCAATCTCAGTGTCTAAAAACCCTGAGCATCATGGTCGCATGAAGCATCTTGACTTGGCTCATTTCTGGCTTAGAGATGAAGTTGGGAAGGGCTCTATTGCAGTTGATTATGTACCCACTACAGAGCAACTTGCAGACATTCTGACCAAGGCCCTACCTCGTCCCACTGTGGAGAATTTACGCTCCAAGATGGGATTACGGGGGAGATAGGCGAGACTTGTCTCGTCCCGGGGGAGTATTGGAGTCTGTGACTGGACTGTGACATTCTCGCATTCCTGCTTACCTATTTGATCCGGTTTGATCCTTACTTATGTAGTTGTACCTACTAATGCTGACTGAGCAGCTGACTGATCAGCTGACTGAGCAGCTGACTGAGCATTACTCATCCTCATTACTCACATTACTCATCCTGTTCCCACACACCTACAATACATATATAAGTAGGCTAGTGTAGTCCTGGAGTCCTCAGTTCTCACTGTTGACTTCAGGTTAGTACTTACTTACTTTTCCTTGCCAATGCACAAGAGTTCTCACTGTTGACTTCAGACCTCTGTGCTGCCTGTTCTAACAATCTACAAATGAATGAATATCTGTACAATTTAGACTGCAAGGTTGCCCACCTTAACCTGGTCCAAGTGCAGCTTAATCTAAAGGCCGAAAAGTGTGCTGGGGTTCCTGTAGATCCTGTGCTTTAGCTTAATTTACCGACCAGCGGTGTCAGTAGATCTCTGCAATGTGGTGGGTCACACACCCTCTCTAAGACCTTCATCAAGTTGTTACAAGGGCCCAGCATGTTGACAGCCAAATGGTCAGAAAGAAAGACAAGGTCATCCGCATGATTGTCTGAATCCCGGTGCACCTTCCCACCAGGCCTGCATTGAGGAGTTCAGTGAATATCAACTCCAGCCTCTGCACAGCCATAATATAGTTTTTGTTCATGTTCCGATCAAGATCATAGCGAGTGATAACTTTTAACACTCATTTGGAAAGTGCTTTGCGCCCCGAGAGAGATGTGTACCGTTCATCATGACCTTGTTCAACTTCCAAAACAGGCCTCTCGAGGTCAAGAGCTGCATGCCAGCTGTTAGGGATAGGGGCCTTTTTCACTATTCTTTTATTTTTGCCTTATTTGCTTCACTGAAAACGATTAGCTACATTCTCAGTGACTACCCGGAGCTGTAGCTACTCTAGGTTATATATTGATTATTTCTACTTTCCTCCCGGACTCCACAATAAATCCACCGTTTGTTGAATCAGCGCGCTGTAAACCCGGCCACGCATTTACTTACGGATTGAGAGCACGTGCTTACTTTCTTTCTCTTCCGCTTACCACTATCTCGAGATTACTTGGATTATACAACGGTCTAATCTTTCCCTCTGGTTTCTGTTAGTGTTTCTCCCCAGGATATACTGGTGAGTTTCCACTTTTTGAAAGATTCCAATCGTCCGTATTTGCCTCCGTTGTCGCGAATCAAAGATCCTCCATC